TGTGTGTGTGTGTGTGCTAGCCCAATAAGTCTTTTCGTGTGTGAGAACATATGATGTAACCCGAGGTGCCCCCCACGTGGCAAGGGTAGCTTCATGTGAAGCTCTGGCTGGGACCTTTGCTGTGCCTATGACATCCCCACCACAGAGTCGGGGAACACATGGGAGTCCGGAGTCTGATGCTTACGACAGCATGAAGGAAGATGCGCAGTGCCCGTACCCAAGAAAGAAGGACTTGCACGCAAGCGCCGGGCCACTGCCAAACCCAAGCCACACCTTGCCTTCCGCTGGACCGACCGTGCCACCTGCAAACCCTGGCCACACCTTGCCTGCTGCACCGCCTGCAAACCCAGGCCACACCTTGCCTTCTACTGGACCGACCCAGCCACCGGCGAACCCGGGCCACACCTTGCCTTCGACAGTGCCAGCAGTGCCACCGTCAAACCCTGGCCACACCTTGTGTTGCCCTGGCCACACCTTGCCTTCGACCGTGCCGCCAGCAAACCCTGGCCACCGGCTTGAGAGTGTGCCGAACAAGTCTCATACCACCCCAAAGAAAAGAAAGTCCAGCGAGCCTGGCTTGAGCAACTCACCCCCAGAGAGTGTGAGCCCGCCATCGTCAAGTGCAACGCCGGCTCAGTCCCGCAAGCCTAAGACGAAAAGATCGAAAAGCCCGAGCTACTGGCAGTGTTTCGATTGCAGCTTTTAACATGCATGAGTGGTTGGGTGGGTAGGCATGCATGGGTTACGTACATATACACATACATATCGTGCTGTGATTTGCTGAGGATGAGGAGATATTTTGAACCCAAACGATGTGGGAGTCTCAAATGCTCGCCGGAAGCGCTAGCATTATACAAGACGGCCGAAGGCCGCAACTGGGCGAATTCATTGATCGATAATATATATCATGCATGACGAGTTAGCTTGGGAATCATGCAAAGCCCCATGTGCTTTGTACTTAGGCACGAAGCTTCGCGACCTCCTCAAAACCCACGGCAATTTCAAGTCGCTGGAGCTGCAGCTCCGGAAGACACACGTAAATAGCTACGGCAAAAGCAAGGAAGGCC